GTAGAGGTTAGTCACTTGGCTGTCTTACACAGTCACACAGAAGACACACAGGTGGTGTAGAGGTTAGCCACGTCGCCTTCTCACACAGTCACACAGTCACACAGTCGCACAGTCACACAGTCACACAGTCACACAGTCACACAGTCACACAGCCACACAGAAGACACACAGGTGGTGCAGAGGTTAGCCACATCGCTGTGTCACACAGTCACACAGAAGACACACAGTCACACAGAAGACACACAGTCACACAGAAGACACACAGTCACACAGAAGACACACAGGTGTAGGTGGTGTAGAGGTTAGCCACGTGGCTGTCTCACACAGTCACACAGGAGACACACAGGTGGTGTAGAGGTTAGCCACTTGGCTGTGTCACACAAAAGACACACCGGTGTAATTGGTGTAGCGGTTAGCCTCATCGCCGTCTCACACAGGAGACCCGGGGTTGATTCCCTGGTGGGGGAGATGTTGTATCTAGAATCTCTAGTATCTCCAGCAGTAATGGGTACCTGACTTCGAGTTGGGGAAGTAAAGGCGGCGTGGAAAGGAACTGGCCACCCTACCACAATATGCCGAAGGCCCAGGAAGTTGTCTCACTAACAAGTCAATCCCCAGTGTCCGGATCGGATGCGGGAACAACTTTACTTTTTTTTTTTTAACTCGGTCTTTCTGCTAGGATGTTGTATCTCTCAGCCTGGGCTGGTTCTCATAGACACTGTCCAAGCCACCTCCTGAACTGATCTTTGAATGGGATAGTGCATTATATATCATCATCATCATTTGGAAAGCAAGTAGGAGGGAGAGTGTTGTTTGATTTTCAGACAAATAATTTTTAGAAATGAATGTTTAAAATTTGTTTTATTGAAACAGCTCAACGTTTGGCCGCTTAGGCTTCATCAGGAACAAGTGAGAGAAAAACTAAAAGGGAGCTGTATACTAGCAGGGAAATAGGCCTTGCAAAGAGGGGCTCAGGATTACGTGTGGTTACAGGCTTGACGGAAGTGACTCAGAGCGAGCCAGGGCAAGGGGCTAATTATAAAGAAATTGATACTAGTCTAGCAAGAATATCAAAGCATTTTATCTCTACGACTATACCAATGACTATCATCATCATCATCATCATCATCATCATCATCATCATCATCATCATCATCATCATCATCATCATCATCATCATCATCATCATCAAGTTTTAAAGTAGAAAAAAATATTACTTGAGACTTGAATAGGGTTGGTCACATTCAATCAGATGTTCGTATAGGCCTGGATGTTCAACGTTTCGCCAATGAAGCTTCATCAGGAACATAATAGCTTTGAAAAAAAAAATTAGTAATGACGCCATAGCAACAAAGCGTTCACTATAAGTTATGTAATGGTGCGATTTTGGACAATATCGGAAAGAGCCGAAGCTCAGAAGTTTTGATGGGGGCTCAAAAACAGCTACATTGACACTGTCTCCCTTCTACAGGAGACGCGGCCGCCTATGCTGCGGTGTTGTCTGGCAAAAGGGACAGAGGTCAAGGCCGACCCCCGGCTCCGTTGATCAGAGAGGCTTCTCGTAAGGACCGTTGTGAGAACCTATATATACTTACTAATTAATTACTACTTACTGACTTGTGTGTGTGTGTGTGTGTGTGTGTGTGTGTGTGTGTGTGTGTGTGTGTGTGTGTGTGTGTGTGTGTGTGTGTGTGTGTGTGTGTGTGTGTGTCAGAGAGGCTTCTCGTAAGGACCATTGTGAGAACCCATATTTACTAATTAATTACTACTTACTGACTTATGTGTGTGTGTGTGTGTGTGTGTATGTGTGTGTGTGTGTGTATGTGTGTGTGTATGTGTGTGTGTTGAAGCAGACTTTGTGCTGTTGAGGCTAGCGAGGTGAGCAGAGTAATCCTGATTCCCCGTTTGGGCTTCTCTGTTGACATCCGCCCCTTGGCGCTCATATGACCTTATGCTGTAGCGAGCTCCGCAAAACTTACGAAATGAGAAAAAGTAGCAAATGGCAACATCACTGAACTGAACGAGCTTCTATTAGCTGATGACTAGAGGATATTAAATACAGATGAAGAAGAATTACAAAAACATACCACAAACCTAAATGAGGAACGTAAACACCAAAACATGAAGATCTCCATTTCAAAAACAAAAGTTATGAAGGTGAGAAAACCCCCCAGGGAAACTCAACATTCTTTTTGATGGAACACAACTCCAACAAGCAGAGGAAATTAAATATTTGGGAAGCATCTTCACACAAGAAGGCGGTATGGACAAAGAAATAGCCTACTCTTATCGATTTTAGACCACCAAGTGATCTTTAACGTGCGCAACTTGCACACGGGACCTCCGAGATTTCTTTTTGCCCTTATCCGAAAAGGCTAGGAGCAGATCTTTCCTACCATAAGTTCAGGGGTGTCGCTGAGAGACAGCAGTAAAAATTCCAAGGAATAGCAGCAGAAAGGCTGCAGAAAGATTCAGGAGACCAGAGGAGGGGGCAAAGGAGGTGTGGGTGTGAGGGCAAAAACTAGAGAAGAAAGCAGACGACAGCACATTGTTAGAGAGCAGGAAAGGAGATGAAAGGAGAAAAAAATTTTGAGAAGAAAATTTTCCGTTTTTACCCGGGACCTATTGAATGAAAGGTGAACACATTAACCTCTAGACCGCGAGAGCCCCCAGTATATTTATAATTTATTTATCGCTACTGTTGTGTGTGGCCTTTTGTATGTGTGCCTGTGTGTGACAGAGTGAGAGAGAGAGAGAAGGAGAGAGAGAGAGAGAGAGAGAGACAGGGAGAGAGAGACAGGGAGAGAGAGACAGGGAGAGAGAGAGTGTGTGTGATTGACTGAGAGAGAGAGAGAGAAAGAGAGAGAGAGAGAGGGGGAGAGAGAGAGAGAGAGAGAGAG